TAAGTACCGTATTGTCCCGAATATAAGACGATATTTTTTTCTTGGAAATGCATCTGAAAAAACGCGGTCGTCTTATATTCAGGGTCTAGACTTTGACATGTCAATAATACACACACAATAATAGGTGGCACCAAAACCGCATAAAACGAGTGTGCCATGAAATACATAATGTGATGCGTGTTGTAAAGATCGCAAGTAAAAACAAAAGAAAACCTTACGGCTGCATGAGTCGTGACTGTCACGTTAGCCTGATGGGACTAAACTCCCTTTGTGATTTTAAAACGTAAGACAGTACCCAGATTTGAAGACTACAGTAAGATTTAACTTCTACTGTTAATAAGATTTTGGTAGGCTACTATTAGATGGATAGCCTAAATGTCCTATCCATCTAATAGTAGCCTACCTATTGGGCTATTTATTTATTTTTTTAATGGTATATCAAAAAGTGTATATTTTTAAAATGTGATTGTTGGTACATTTTACCTGTTTTTACCATACTTTCAAAACAAAAATTAAAATAGAAAAAATATGCAATATGAAAATAATTGAAGACAAAATGTGTTTTACTGAGAAAAAACAAGATTTGGTTTTTAAAAAGCCTTTTTCCAAAAGGTACATCTGGAAAAAGGGGGGTCGTCTTATAATCAGGGTCGTCTTATATTCGGGCCAATACGGTAATATTAATATTCTCTCTTCATTTTTATCCAGGCAACCAAAGTCTTTTAGAGTCAAGTGCATTAAATACATTTTAAAAGTACATTTGAGAGGTTTAAGACACCTTATTGGTTTTCAAGCACATTGGAGATTATGTTTACCGTATTTGATGTGCTATGTATTTGGATGACCAATGTTTGCATTTGAATAAAAGTCCAAAATAAATCTTATGGATTACTTCTAGAATGTCTTTATGCACTTTCTGAACTGCAATATTTTGGTTAAGTGGACTTTCAGTGGATGGACAAAAATGATGAGAGATTAAAAATATATTTGATCTCATTTGTG